ACATGATCACCCTTTATGTGAATGTTTTAAATGAAATTAATATATTTTTATAAATGACCGAGATGTGACTTTTTTGATTCCGTCTGTCGAATCGCGATATTTAAATTATCAAGATTGTTTTAATTATCGTTTAGACATTTGCAAATAATATTTCAAACAGTAATAGTCAATTAACGATAACTCTGCATATACATAAAAGGCAACGTTACAGGTTTTGATTTTTTTATGTAAAAAAAGGGACTGGTAAAAGGATGAAACATGTTTTTTAATGAATTAAATATTTAAATGTATACAAATGTGTTACAAAACGAATTAAATATTTAAACGTCAAAAATGCCATATCAATTTGAGTACTATGCAAAATTATCGTTATTTGAATATATTTATGTTTTTTACTACTTTACGCAATATTTTTGGGCAAATCCGTAACTGATTTGAATGCGCTATAAATACACTGTTTATCGTCTGTCTGTTTCCTATTTAGTTATTTTTTTTTAATATTTACAACAATAATAATCACAAAGAAACAACTATTCGTTCGACTGTAAGCATTTTTAATCAAATAACTTAAAAACGTTTTTATTTTATTTTAGTCATTGTCCAAAATAGTCTGAGTATTAGCCATGAGATTAAATTTAAGTTAAGAATTAGAATAACTTAAAATGTTAAAAAATCAATTTATGACAATTTGAATTATTTTGTTAAGTTAAAGAGTCCGCACTTAATTAGTGCAAAGATTATTTATTAAAATCTTATTTAAAGACAGGCGGAAAATAATGTATTTGTTAGTGATGAAATTTTAGATTCTTTTTAGTTGATCGGACAATGTTAGTCAAAAAAAACTTTTTTTTAGACAGCTTTACTTAATTTTTAAGAATTTATGACCACTTTAATTCCTGAGTGCAGCGGAATGTAGTTTTAGTTTTATATTTTGGTGTTTCTGACCTGCATCCTTGAGGTTAGAGTTCGGGTTTGATTATTGGGACCTTAACGTCTTTGTGGAAAGCAAACAGCTGTCGATATTGTTTACTAAATAGGTAAACAAAATCGAATGCTTGCTATTATTTCTCTGGGTGGTTCTTTAGGTAGATACTTTTAGAGTTTGTTGTGTATTTGTAATGAGTTTAATTACCTAAATTATATTTACGTAATTTATTGCGCTATGTATCTGATAAGCTTAGATGTAAAACGCATTTCGTTATAAAACACTCACACGCCTGTGTTTAAATTTAAAATGTTGTTTCAGACTGTCGCGAGAGTTTGATGTCTTGAGAATTATTATTTTAATTGTAACTTGTAATTATGTTATAAAGTATTACATATAAATATTAAAAGAATGATTTCATTAACTTTGTTTTTCTTCATCATACCTTTAGCCCGCGACTCTGTCCGCGTGGAATTAAAAAAAAAAGTAAGTCGCAAATGTGTTCTACCAAACTATCCTCTAAATCTATGCCAAATCTCATCGAAATCCGTTCAGCAGTTTAGGCTACAAACTCTAATAAATATCCATCCAACCATGTGAATTTTCGCATTTATAATATTAGTAAGGTAATTTATAAGATTAGTAATAAATGACACTCACAATGTCTAAAACGTATTTATTAATTTTAAATTGATAGTACCTTGATAAATATATTAAAATGATTTAGTTTATATAAATCGATTCTGATCATAATATTGAAATAGATAAAATGATTTACAATCCTCATTTCGTAAAGCAATAACAATTTCTATAAAAAGCGATTATTAAGCAACCGAACCACTATAAGACGGTCAAATTTTCTATCATTTCTTAGCTCGCGATGTCTCACTATACTTGAGATCTAATAAGCTTAGTGATGAGACTCGTATTGAATCGTAGTCATTGCTATATCTACGTGTAATGTGTAAAAAGATACAAATACTAACGAACGTAATTATTAATTGAAGCATTACAATAAAATAAGCAATCGGTTGTCTCATAGCAATTCGTATTCCAGTATAAAAAGGGCCCGATTGTGTAAATAGTAAACGAATAACGTACAGTTAAAGATAAGTCTTGCCATCTTTACATTTGACGTCTTAAACAATCGATTATATGAAATAAAGGAATCAACATGATTAATATAAGTTAAAGCTCTGCAAATTTACCCAAAGTAATGCGATCAACGGCGTTCACGTGCGCGACCGCTGGTGCCCGTATGCCTTGCCAGTCGCCGCTCTCAGTGAAGCGTTTGTTGATAGATATCAGCTGCTCAAAGTTGGCGCGTGCGAGCTTGTGCTTGTTAGCTACCTTACTTATCAGCTCCTCATCGTATACCGCCTCCGGATTTTCCAACTTCAAATGCTCCTTCATTTCTTCAACGGTGACCAGGAAACAGTTCCACGGAGCCCAATCCTCACCGACGTGCCAACGACAAAGTCTCAACAGAGACATGTCGGCACACTCGCTGATAGCAGAGTGAGAGTGCCAGAGTTTCTCCACGATAAAGAATACGTCCTTTTCTTGTAGGACGAATGCCAACGATCCCCAGCATTTACGGCGCCTCTCCTCACGCTGTACGGCCCGAAGAATGAATCTGTAAGGAGTCATGTCGATCCAAAGTCTCTCGGTGACGTCCTTCCAAGAGCACGACATGCACACGAGGAATCCACTCATTTTTGCATTCAACGGGAACTCCGTGTGTAATTTTACTTGATTGCACATTTCACACAAGTACAATCTTCCTTCCTCCATCTTCTGGTAATCTCTAATATCTTTACACTTTGTCACGCCCGAATTTAGCTCCGACGTTTTGATTACCTGTAAAACGCTTGCGGAGATTCTTCGTCTCAGAAACTCCAATTGATGATCGTCGCATCTTCTTACAAGAAGATCGCACTCTCTATCCAATAGAGCCATAACTTCGTCGACCAGGTCATGGGAAAATTCTTGAAGAGCAGCTTTCATATCAACGAGGAGCTCGATCCTTTCATTCACCTCCAAATCGGTGCGTAAAAAAGAATTATATAATTCTTTAAGCTTTCTTGCCTTTTGTATTTCTATGGTATCCATTGTAATTAGTTTACCGTCTCTGCCGAACCAAGCGACTGGTTTTGATATTTCCTCCAAGAACTTTTTATCTTTTGTCTTACGACTGTCTTCTCTCACTTTAAGTCTATAAGCTTCTATGCATCGCAGGAGCTCAACTTCTTTATCCAAAAGGAGAGTAAATTCCGCAATCTTGGGACCTTTTGAATGCAGCCGCGATATTCTTGATATTTCTCCATGTTTCCATCGATCAACCTGTACATAAAAAATCGATGTGTTTTTATACTTAGCGACAAACAACATGTTATAACGAGAATGAACATCTTTGTCTAACATTTGATTATAAAGGAGTATAAAAAAGCAATACCATTGCGTAGAGCTGATCGAAGTCTTCACGTGTCTTAGGAAAGGTCCTAGTGATGAGGTCTCGTCGTAAGCGCCTCTCCATAGCCTCGCGTTCCAGTCTATCTTCTTCCTGCATCCTCCTTATTCTTTCTCTTTAAACAAAATACAAAAATATTGCAATCAAGTTTGCGTTTGCAATAAGTGAACAAGCAAAGATTTTATTATTTTGTGCAAAATAACTGTCCCCTAATTCATTGATGTCACCGAAAGTTTTGTTTTAAAAATGTATTTATTGTATGATACATACTTGCACTCTTTAAGCCATCTTTCCACCTTCTGTCTAAACTGGTGATGTCTGAAGGCGCGCTGTATAATAGTGGCGTAATGTTTGTGATTCAACCGCGCTATCTTCTCTTCGTAAGTCTCATATCGTTTCGGGATTATGATTTTATCAGTCACACTTGGAATATACACTTTCTCGGTGGCCATCTGTGTAGATCGACTGTAATTGGTTTCCTGCAATAAATAAAATCTCTAGTCTTGTTTGAGTTTTAAACATCTTTTCTGTCAAATGATAAGGCCTTACCAGAACTCTTTCGATTTCTTCAGCAGTCTGAGTATCTCTGCAATTTTTTCTTTCCGGCGATACTTTCTCCGGCTTTTGAGGTGTTTGTGTAAAAGCATGATGATATATAACACCTAAAAGGCAATGCAATATTTTAATATCGCTGCTAATTTGGCACTTATAGTAAATTTTTATCTTAATCTAATAATAATCTAGCTATTACTTAGTTTTCTACCATGGTTTGAATTCCAGTAGGACATATATTACCTGTATGTATATTTTTAAAACCACCTAGGAAAGGTTTTTCGATTGGTCTTGAGAATACTTCGACATTTAGTTGCCTTAAGCCGGTACCAAATGGCACGGTCACCGCTAAGATATCACTCGATGGAAGCTCTTTATACAACTTGTCCAAGTTTAATTTCTTAGTATCTTTTGTAAGCAATTCGACTTCAACTATTCCATATTTGTTATAGTCCAGATCAGAAAGTGCCATTCGATCTTTCAGCGGATTTTCACCGCGTAATAATACTAGGTTTTCAGGGGCTACTTGAAATAGTCCAGCCAAATTCTTTTTTATCTCATGTATTTTTATAGCAGAATGATACGATCGTGTAAAAAGGCTCGTTTGATTTCGTATTCTAAATTTTATCGCTATAAAAGGCAGAGCTTTTTTCTTCGGCAAGATCGACTGAAGAAGTTCATGAACGTAATTCTCTTTGGGTATGGATGACAAAGCAAACTTTTCGGAATCCTTTGTGTAAACGTCGACCGTCAAATTGCCGTGAGCGTCAGTTTTCAAGTTGGATAGCAAACTAGTTTCCTTAAGTATGCTCCTATTTATAGTAAGCAGTAAATTGCTATTGGAAACAGATAGCAGTTTTGCCAATTTACGCTTTACAAATTTTATAGGCGTATTACTTGGGAAGACTTTGCTGAATGCTTCTTTAGGATGCATTGGAGATTTGAAAGTGACCAGTGTATGGCTGACGGGACATTTGTACTCCTTGAAATCCCGACGACAAGGGGCGGTAGAAAAGCGTGATTTTGGTACATCATCTTGTATGGGACACGGACGGTATGGTGGTGCGGTCAATAATTTGTCGCGACCTAATTCGCATTGGCAGCCTGCACTTCCCTTTTTACCTCCGATCTCCGGAGATATGGAGCTTATCACTCTATTGCCGTCCATTCTCACTGTTTTAATTAAATTAATTAAGAACAAAGAACTCCGAGAAAATGTTTCCAAAATACTTTTAAATATAAGTAAAACTGACTTGGCGACTAATTAATTGTTTATTTATCGTAGCGATCGTCGCTTAGCAACTGTCATTATATTCTTCATAGAGTATAAATAAAAATGCTGTTGTACGTTTCATAAAGGTTTGAAAGAACCTCTTATTACTTTAGGATAAGATTTTAAAATTACACTTGGTAGCAAGGTTCCAAACTTAGTTACACTTCGGTACACGTGAGTCATTCTCTAGTCGTAACTCTTTCGAGAAGCGTTTATGAGTTAAAGATTCAGTATAGCGTGGGTCTTCACTGCCCGACCACTTGTATAAAAACATATTGTTATATATCTTGAAAACAACGACAAACATGATTTGTAATGATGTTTCCGCAGTGGGAACCCATCGATGGATGAGATTAATTTGGTATTCAAATACTATTCTCTACTCATTTCAGCACTATTTCAGTTGGTGTACATATATGTATATGTCAAATTGTAATTTAGACAAATGTAACGTAGAATTGTCAAGTTATCATACTGGTAGATCATATGATATCATATCATATGAACACTGAACGGGAATTCGGCGATAAAGTAAATTGAAAGTACATTTCTTAGGTGCGCTCGCAGACTCGCTTGCCTTTAGTACTTGATAATAAAGGAAAACATACAACAACCCCTCGGGGCTCACTATGAAAATAGTTAAAAGAGTGGAAAGGTGCTCTATTAAGAATGAATTAACCGCTTAGCTTTTAAAACTGTAAACTCCTTTGAACATGTTTTTCAAAAGAATACGCGTAGTGATTCTGGCAACGAGCTCTTGAAGCAATTTGTGCTTTGTTTGTGAGATTAATTCTTTTCCGAAATCTGAAAATAGCAGGAAATAAAATCAGTAGATTTAATACTAGATGAGACTGAATCGAGAATATATGTGGAAGAATTAGAAATTGTACATTGTGGTAAGTTCTAGAACCAGATAGTTATTCTAAATTACATCAATATTAAATATAGCCATTATGTATGAGTTAATCGTAAGTTGGAAAATTAAAAGTGTCTGTTCATGCTAAATTTTAAAACATTTTTATAAATTGATTATTTTACGCATAATTTGACCGATTTTAAATTTCATTACTGCATCGAAAAAGTAAAAACTTATTAATACCGTCATATCAGGAAAATAAGTAGATATTCAATAGTTAATAAAATTGAGAGAACAATAAAATTACAGGGCAATAAAATATTGAATGTGCGAACCATAGCCGGTGCGATATTAAATTCTACCGAAAACATAAAAATGATTTTCGATCGTAAAACTATAATTTACAGACGTAAAAATGCGCTGACTTATATCGTAAGGCGATGTAGAAATGCACCTTTAGAATTGTTATTGGGAGTAATATAACCACCATAAAATAAAAGGAATTAGCGTATCCTTACTTTACCAATGAATCCTCATTATCTGATCTATTTTTTTAGATTTTTGAAAAAACCCTAAAAGATATAATAATCAGTTCTAATATCATAAAGAGGAACAATTTGTATTTTCGTATGCATTGGGATAACTCAAAAATTACTGGGCCGATTTCAAAAAATTTTTCACCATTAAAAAGCTACGTTATCAGTGAGTAACATATTTTTTTCATACGGGTAAAGTCCCGAGTCAGTCAGTTATTAATATAAAATTAACTAGATTTTTTACCAAATCTCACATTTGCACAAAAAGTAAATGAGGTGTAGAGTCTAGTAGTACAGTAAGAAGGTTACCTTAATGTGTTTTATAAATAAATAGATGCAATCAAAGGCACATTGAATTAGAAAAAGAAATTAAATGAAAATGAGCGGATGCAGTGCGCTGGAAATAAGAGCGCAGTCAACTAATCCGTATCACTAAACATCATTAGTCGCTCTCGCGATCTGTGTAATGTTATCTGTAAGAGTGAAGCGAGGAAATCACTTAACATGCTATAAATTATCGTCTCGCATTAGATTATTTTTAACTTATCTTATTAGCGTACTATCTTTTGTAGTAAAGTGTTAAAAACCGTAAAGGATTTCACACACTTATTTTAAAATCTTAATATTTTTTTTAATATCATTAATGCGAAAGTTTAGACGGATGGATGTTTTGTGTTTTATTTTTCATTCCCCCCGGACGGAGTCGCGGGCAGAAGCTAGTCTCAGTATAAATTTTTACATGCAAATAAGTTAATGTATGCAATATAAGTGGTTCCTTTT